TGATAGATGGATCAACGACTTACTACTTTCGATGACAGAAACTAATCCAACGTTGTACAGTCTACATTGTTGTCTTTGTAAATACCCGCGTCAGCATACACTCCAAAACCCCTTATGGATGAGGGAGTGTTATGCCGACTGACGTCCGAGGGTGTGTATCCTAGGCGTTAGATAACGGACCGCTATTTTACTGTCGTCTGGTGCTTCCTGTCATTGTAATACTATGTCCGAGACTCATCGACCAGTACTTCATCATCGTGGTTAGCGGGCTGCACAGCTGATCAACCCGGTTCTGAAGCAGTCGTTGTGAAGGCAGTAAACAACAACAAAATAGTCAACAATCCAAAAAGATCTTACCAAAATCAAAATGGTGGCCGACCTGACCAACTTTCCATCGTTACGCATCAAAATATTTAAACGCTCACCAAACACCTTCGGGCACCGAGCCGACCGTGAGAGGGCTGTATGGCAAGTCAAGGTCGTTAAACACTTCCATTATCATCATACTTGTTAAGAAAACAAAATGTCGAAGTGGTTTGGTACTTAAACATTACATACTAGTTGACATCAGGGACTTTCTTATCTTACATAGTTGGTTAGAAAGTCCCTGTTGACATGTGTATTGATTAGATCGTGAAAATATGAAAAACAACCTGTATTTGCATTATCAATTGTGTATTGTAATAGTCTGTCTGTATAGATTCCTTTGTCAGTACATTGTATTTGAATTGTTTCTAATTGTCCAAAATTTCCAAATATGGCTACAGCAATACTGTCCATCCGGAAAATGATATTCGTTGTTGTGTCCAACGTTTGCTTCTATTAAATATTAATCCTATTAAGTATTACATGCATTCTTAATTCTTAATGAAATTGCAACAAATCAGCTTCATACATAGATATGTATTCTCTAAAACAAAGTACATTTCAAGTAGAAACATACAATATAGAATTATAAACAGTGATAAAAGTTGAAGTCAAAACAAAGAAGATTTTCTTTTACTGCTTCTCTTTTTTTGTGATTGTTTTCTTAGTAAAAAAAAAGTTATCCGACACTTTCAGATGGGGCTAAAAAACCCATTATTACAAAATGTAAAATTAATCGGTCTCACAACTGTAGGTAAATATCATAAATATGACGGCTTCATTAAGTCTGACAACTCAAACACCCTTGTCGCATAGTGTCTAAAGTATGAACGGCCCTCATAAGTTTTTTTGGTTAGTGAACACTGATCTTTCATTTTATCTTCTTTTTTTTTTGTCAACATGAATGTAATAAAATTCACCTTTTCAAGACGACAGTATAAAAGTGATCTTTTCTCTTTTCCTGTTATTATTCTCAGTTTGTTGCATGACTGATGCAAACCTTTTTTTCAATGGAAACCGACTCTACTGATTCTGGTAATTCATTACTTTCTCTCTCTTTCCTGTGCGATTTTGCCTCTTCACAAAACTTAATAAAGTCTTCTTGAACGGATTTTTGCCGGAAATTTTAATTCTGTAAATGTACTTAATGTACAACGGACATAAAATTAAGAGAAAATAAAATGCGGCTGAAAAATTTAATTGCATCTTCTGTGTACAACATAGCACTAGCAAATAAATTAAAAAACACAGTCTGCTTCTATATATTTTGCACAAAAATAATAATGATCAGGCGACGTATGTGTACTTTTAAAAAAACTATTATGCATGGATTTTCAAGAATTTCTTTTTCTTTTTTACTTTTAATTTGTAGCATGTTAATAAAAGTTAAAATGTACTCGCTGCAGAACCTTGCAAATTCTTCTTCAGTGGTATGATTAGGATATTTGACCAATGCATCCTCCCAGTTTGATACATCTGTATCAAGATGTTGAATAAGCTTTCCTTTAACGATTCTTTTCTTTTTTAGGCAATTCAGCCCCTGAAACCATCTCATTGATAGTTTTTCTTTATTACAGGTTTTTTTTCAAGCAACTTAAATTTAACTTAAACTTAAACATTGGGTTTTTATAGAGCTATGTCGATGATGGGTATGGTGTGGCATGTTATAAATTTGTGCATGATATGATTATGCATAGGTACTAGACATGGACAGAATTTGTTATGATGTCATCAGAAAATACTTTGGTCATGGGACATAATGTAAGGAAAGACTTTATGTAAACAAGCATTAATGCAAACACGTTACAGATAACACGAAATATACGAAATTGATTGATTGATTGTTGGTTGCTTAACGTCCGAGAACAAATTAACAATAAATACAATAGGTAGGTTCTGTAAAGGGGGCGTCCGGGATTAAGGTCGGAGAAATTTAGACTGCCACGGGAAATGAGGGTATATTTGATAGAGACAGAAATTTAGCCTTTCAACAGGTCACCTACGGACCCCCTCAACGAGTTGTTGCAAGGGTTCTTAACGTGCAAAGAGCGTGGCACTCTCTTTACACGAGACATCGGATTTAACGTCCCCATTCTGACCGGACGTGGCTGCAAATTTGTACATCCCGCACAGCCAAACGGACGCCCCACTTTAGCAAGGGTTTTACTGCCGGTCGGAGGAAGACCAATGGTGACCATACTTCTATTCCCCAGTCACCCTTGGGGGGTACGAAGTCAAGTCGATTTTTATACGACCGCAAAAAAATTTGCGGTCGTATATTGGTATCACGTCGTTGTCGTCCGAAGACATTTGGTTTCCGGACAATAACTTAAATAAATGTAAATAGAAATCTTTGAAATTTAAACACAAGGTTTATAACCACAAAAGGAAAGTTGGGATTGATTTTGGGGGTTATGCTCCTAACAGTTTAGGAATAAGGGGCCAAAAAGGGACCCAAATAAGCATTTTTCTAGTTTCCAGACAATATCTTGTGGCGCGATGTATGGATCTTTCGGAAATTATACCACAAGTTTCCAAACCACAAAGGGATGGTTAGGATTGGCTTTTGAGGTGTTATGATTCAAACCGTTTAGGAATTAGGGTCAAAAAAGGGGGGAAAACAAGGGTGTCCTGGTTAATGGACAGTTAAAAAAAGTACAATATTATGTTTGGATTACCTCCCTTACACTGCTTTTGAATTATGTATAAAGACATGTTGTATTGTCTTGAGGTGATTAGCTGTCAATTTATTTTTAGAAGTTACTATTATTAAAATGCTGATTAAGGAATATTAATTTTAGCCATGATTATGTATGTCATTTTTTATTTAAGACTTTTATGATGTATTTAAATGGGTAATTATGGTTGCAAACGCCATTGGAAATTTGAATTGAGATTATGACCATATCTTGAGGGAAAGAATTTTTTTTTTGGAAAAATAGGGGGGGGGGGGGGACATTTTTTTCTCTTTTCAGATTTCAGAAATTAAAAAGAAAATTTCTTCAAAAATTTTGTTTTTTTTCCAAAAAAATGGGGGGGGGGGGTCAATTCGAAACAGCATAGTGTATTGCACAAAAGCAAAAAAAAAGGGGGTATTTTTTTTGGGGGGGGGGGGGGGTCAATACGCAACAGCATAGTGTATTGCACAAAAGCAAAAAATTGAATATACAAATCAAATCATATAACCAATTCTAAGTTCTTTGACTACAGTTATTCTGTGTCAGAAACCCCCAAGGGTGACTGGGGAATAGAAATATGGTCACCATTGGTCTTCCTCCGACCGGCGGTAAAACCCTCGCTAAAGTGGGGCGTCCGTTTGGCTGTGCGGGATGTACAAGTTCGCAGTCATGTCCGGTCAGAATGGGGACGTTAAATCCGATGCCTCGTGTAAAGAAAGTGCCACGTTCTTTGCACGTTAAGAACCCTTGCAACAACTCTTTGAGGGGTCCGTAGGTGGCCTGTTGCAAGGCTAAATTTCTGTTCTTATCCAATATACCCTCATTTTCCCGTGGCAGTCCAAATTTCCCCGACCTTCATCCCGGACGGCCTCTATTACAGAACCCACCTATTGTATTTATTGTTAACTTGTTCTCGTTCTGAATATGCATGAAATATTTGCCACTGGACGTTAAGCAACCAACAATCAATCAATCAATTCTGTGTCAGAAATCTATTATGTGTCAAATATTTAATTACAATCCAAATTCAGACCTGTATCAAGCGCGAATATTGTGTCCATTTTTGCCCAAACTGTTCAGGGTTGGACATCTGCGGACGTATCCTGCTGCGCTCGGCGAAGCAATTTACACAGGCAAATTTTGTTCACGTGAATTTAACGTGAAATAAACATGAATTTAACGTGAATTTCACGTTAATCGAGCTTATACGCGTAATTCACGTGAAATACTGATTTACGTGAAATATTTCATGTGAAATTCACGTGAATTGAGCATTCACGTGAAATTCACGTGAAATATTTCACGTAAAATTCACGTGAATTGAGCTTTCACGTGAAATTCACGTTAATTTTTCACGTGAAATTCATGTGAATCGAGCTTTCATGTGAATTATTCTATATTATAATTAAACTTTAAAATATCCACATTATTTGTCAATTCAGCATAATGTTAAAGATAATGTTAGGCACACATGTTCTCTCTTATATTCACTGTAATGTCTCATCTTTAAATCTATAGTATATGATACTTCTTCCAAATAAATTAGTTTATTTGATGGTAATTCCTAATGTATATTGTACTACATTGTGTATATACATCCAACACTTAGTGCACAGACTATAACTACTTTCTTCGTTCCAAACTTTTTTATTATATTACACCTGTACATAAATATTTGTAAAATATTATATAACAAACCTAACTATAGTGCAATAGTTGAAAGACATAAATGACTTAATGATGTCAAGTAAACAAATTTATGTTTCGTCCATGTGCCAAGTCAGGCAAGCTTTTCTTGTTTGATTTTTTTTTTTTTTTTAAATATATATACCATAGGTTTCATTTAAATGAATAATAATATTGATATGTCCTTATAAAAAATCTCTTCTTCCAGAAAAGAAATTGTTTAAATGAAATCTAATATTTGCATCTTTACAGAATAACAACAACAATAAATTTCAAATTTTGGAATCGGTGTAATTTAATACAGATAATCTCAAGTATAAAAACTATAAAAATGCACAATAATCCTTTAAAAAGTTTTTGAATATATGTTCTTGATCATCTTGTCTGGTCTGGTCTTGTCTCAAATTTACCTACAAAATAAATAATGTTAAGAACGTGTTTCATCCTGTCTGATTCTTGTTATCTTGACACTAAACAAAATCAAAGCATAACAGTTAAAAGCTGTATTATGTGAGGTTTATTATAGGACTTTTATGATATGTTTGTGAGTGACTTGGTCCATTTTATATACCAATAAATTCCTTTAAAAAGGGGTTTAATCCTTATAATTCTTTAAAATTGGAGGTAAGGAATATATTTTTTCACACTCGTAACCTTTTTCACACGTAAATTGTATATTTGTGTCATTGAATAGGCCTGGCGCATGAATTTATTAAACAACGTCAAGATCAATATTATTGGAAGTCCTCTCGACCAATCATATGAAAGTATTCCCTATTATGCTTATCATATAAGAATCGTATACTTTTGTTTGTGCTTTTTTTAGTCAACTTGACCTTGGTTTATAGATGTTCATTTTCAAAAAAGGACACTATCCAACATTGTAGACAAAAATAGAATTCAGGACAAAATCTCTGTCAGTTTATATCTAGCTTTTATATTTTGTGAACTAATTACCGAAATAATGATTGTAGCTAATTTTAGTTCAATATGGCCCAATGGTTTCAGATAAGAAGATTTTTTTATAAGATAATGGACAATGATGAACGACAACCAACACCAAGTGCAATAAAGAGTAGCTCACTTGGCCCATGGAGCCAGGTGAGCTAAAAAAGGACTCTCCTAGCATAACGTTCTATATGAAGACATTGTCAAATGTAATGCCTATTCATCTTAAAATGAACATTGCTAATGAATTATTTCAAAAAAGGTGCTCACAGATTGACATCAAGAACACTAATATAAAATGTTGCTCCGCTACTTTAACTCAATTTGCAACAGAAAAATCTACATTTTATGAAGGTCAAGCTTAAAATACAATACAGTTAACTCCTTAATTACATTAATTAAAGCATACTTTCTGTATCTCTCGATTCTTTTCTCTTCCCTCTCACTGAGCCTTCTCCATTTGTCCTCAGAGCTATCGTCCAAATATCTTGGAGATAGCTCTTGAAGGTCCTCCAAAAATCCTCCAGAGGTTCTCCATTTTGTGTTCTGAGTTGTCTTTTTTCGTGACAAAAAGATCTCTGAAAAATATTTATGCATACTATACATTTAAACTAATACAAGTACATGCAAGAGTGTTCTTTTAAATACGCCTATTTTATATTAACTTACAGACATAATGATGCTAATAATTTTTCACATTTCTTTAGACTTTTTGGACTATCCACATTTATACAGAAATAATTGCCAAATGCGAATAACAAAATGATCATGGTTTAAATTACTTTAAGATCTTTATATTTCTTCATCATTAAAAAAGAATTACACTAGAAGCCCTATTTAAGAGCGCTTAGCCAGTGCTGCCCACCTTGATCAACTCAAGCAATTATCACTCCTGCTGAGAACAGAAGAGACTAGAAAATAATTGGAGACTAAACTCCAAATAAAGTTTCTCTCTAGCTTTTGCATATATTAATATACATGGCAAAGACAATTTAGAAAAAATATCACCTTTTAAGGGCAAAGGGCATAAACTATCAAGAGACATCAAATGACCATGTTGGTCAAAGTGGAAAGTATATCCAGACATCCTGAAATTTTTTTAACAAATTGTAAGATTTTCTGTAAAACGTTTTCTGATATTATAAATGATCAATACTTGCATTTTACCCTTATGGTCTTTTTTTTAGCCTAAGTAGTCATACTGGTTGGCCTAATGAATCATTAGACACATTTTAAAAGCAAGATACATCAAGATTTATTTTGGCTAAATTTGGTTTCATTTAGGCCGGTAGAAGATTTATGTAAAAGTAAACAAAATACAGACCCCATTTGAAAAAAGCTAGCAATATGGCCCATAGGGTCAGGTTCCCTATTAACTATTTCATTTCTGTAATCTTATAATTTGAATGTCTGTTTTGGTTATTATGTTTGAACTGAAGCAGTATATAATTGACTATTTGTGTCACAGTTTAAACACTGAAACATGAGTATTTTACATTTAAAAAAAATGATTTAATATTCAATGCACAGATTTATACAAGAGTGTATATGCTGAAATTTCTTGCCTGATTTACTGACCATTGATTTTATGTTGAGAGTTTTAAGATAAAGGTTTTACTTCTTGTATCACATAAACTTAACATTATGAAATATCATGACAATGAGGTCAAGGCCAGAAAAATCATACCAGACAGACATGTACATGTAACCTCTAACTATTTAAGATACCAAATAAGGTTCACCACAGCTTGGCTTAAGGTCATTGAAATACAGACCAAAACACAAAAACTTTGACCAATGAACCAAGAAATTTAGGCCAGGTCAATGTATCTCTGTGTCAGTGAAAACGTACACCTTACAATCATTCCATTAACCAGTTATAGTTGAACTGCTGAACAAAACACAAGAACTTAACAATGACCAATTAAACACAAAAATGAGGTCAATGTTGAACTATACCTGTCACACAAACATGTACACCTTACGTTAATTTCTTACAATAAGATTGTGAGAACATTATTGTTATTCATGCAAGAAATCCAGGTTGAGTATGCATGATATATTATATTACTGAAATTAAAATCCCCATTTAAAACAAAAAACATGCAAAATGATTTTATCACTAATGTTACCAGTATATATAACTTCTTGTTTAAGTGATACACATACGTAGAGTTGTATACATATAGACACATAGTTTAATAACCATAAGAGTACTTAATGAAGAAACATCAGCAACCATTAACTGTACTGGCTTTCAAAACCTGCAACCTCAGTATAGTTGTTAATTTCATTTGGTCTCTTGTGAAGAGTTATTGTCTTTTTAGAAATCAAACCACATCTTTTTTTTTATATTCAAAATTCATTAAACTCTTTTCTTCTAAAATGACCATAATTATTACACATTTACACTGCTTTGTCTTTGAAATATATTATTAAAAATTTCCTAATATGCGTGTGCATATCTTACCAGGGCAACTGCTAAGTTAGACGTCTCCTCAGACTGCTCCTGCATAAATTTCCCGTAAATAGATTTAACAAAGCTGTCAACATCTAACGTGCCCACATCTTCACTCTTGACTGAGCGACTTAGGATCTAAGAAAGACAATGTAATTAAATAAAAGTGATATGAAACAAGAGGCTCTCAAGAGCCTGAATCGCTCACGGCCTGTTATTTTTTGCTTCAATCTTTCATCAATGATCATTTTTGCTTTTCAATATATATTAATGAGTGACTTAAAATTGTCATTTAAATGTTCTTTGTATCTGTCATATATATACTTCAAAAGCAAATAAATGCATTTTTATTACCCATATGTTCCATTTTACCCATAGTGGCTATGTTTCTTGACGTACAAGGAAATAAAAAACCAAAATTTATACTAGATTCATTTGAGAAGATTTTTTAAAGTTAGAAAACATAAACAAATTCTGTGAAATTGTCCTAAAAGGGCAATAAATCCTTATGGGGTCAATTGACAATTTTGACTTATGTGTAGATCTTACTTTGCTGAACAATTTTGCTGTTTACAGTTTATCTTTATCTAGTATAATATTCAACATAATAACCAAAAACTGCAAATTTTCCTTAAAACTACCAATTTAGGGGCAGCAACCCAACAAAAGGTTGTCTGATGCATCTGAAAATTTCATGGCAGATAGATCTTGACCAATTGAACAATTTTACCCCATGTCAGATTTGCTCAAAATGCTTTAGTTTTTGAGATATAAGCCAAAAACTGCATTTGACCCCATGTTCTATTTTTGGCCATGGCGCCCATGTTTGTTGACAAATCAAAAGTTTGGATCCAATTTATAAACTAGATTCCTTACTGAACATTCATTCAAAGTTAAGAAGTATTAGGCACAATAGTTTCAGAGGAGTAGATTTTTAAATTTTAGCAAACTTGATGAACAAATTGTGTAAAATAGTCTTTAAAGGGCATTAACTCCTTAAGGGGTCAATTGACAATTTTGGTCTTTTAACTTTTTTGTAGATCTTATTTTGCTGAACATTATTGCTGTTAACAGTTTATATCTATCTATAATAATATTAAAGATAATAACAAAAAACTGCAAAATTTACTTAAAACTACCAATTTAGTAGAAGCAACCCAACCATGGGTTGTTCGATTCGTCTTACCCCCAAGGGTGACTGGGGAATAGAAGTATGGTCACCATTGGTCTTCCTCCGACCGGCAGTAAAACCCGTGCTAAAGTGGGGCGTCCGTTTGACTGTGCGGGATGTACAAATTTGCAGCCACGTCCGGTCAGAATGGGGACGTTAAATCCGATGCCTCGTGTAAAGAGAGTGCCACGTTCTTTGCACGTTAAGAACCCTTGCAACAACTCTTTGAGGGGTCCGTAGGTGACCTGTTACAAGGCTAAATTTCTGTCCCTATCCAATATACCCTCATTTCCCGTGGCAGTCTAAATTTTTCCGACCTTGATCCCGGACGACCCAATTACAGAACCTACTTATTGTTGTTATTGTTAATTTGTTCTCGTCCTGAATATGCATGAAATATTTGCCACTGGACGTTAACCAACCAACAATCAAGCAATATATATACTTCAAAAGCAAATAAATGCATTTTTATTACCCATATGTTCCATTTTACCCATAGTGGCTATGTTTCTTGACGTACAAGGAAATAAAAAACCAAAATTTATACTAGATTCATTTGAGAAGATTTTTTAAAGTTAGAAAACATAAACAAATTCTGTGAAATTGTCCTAAAAGGGCAATAAATCCTTATGGGGTCAATTGACAATTTTGACTTATGTGTAGATCTTACTTTGCTGAACAATTTTGCTGTTTACAGTTTATCTTTATCTAGTATAATATTCAACATAATAACCAAAAACTGCAAATTTTCCTTAAAACTACCAATTTAGGGGCAGCAACCCAACAAAAGGTTGTCTGATGCATCTGAAAATTTCATGGCAGATAGATCTTGACCAATTGAACATTTTTACCCCATGTCAGATTTCCTCAAAATGCTTTAGTTTTTGAGATATAAGCCAAAAACTGCATTTGACCCCATGTTCTATTTTTTGCCATGGCGCCCATGTTTGTTGACAAATCAAAAGTTTGGATCCAATTTATAAACTAGATTCCTTACTGAACATTCATTCAAAGTTAAGAAGTATTAGGCACAATAGTTTCAGAGGAGTAGATTTTTAAATTTTAGCAAACTTGATGAACAAATTGTGTAAAATAGTCTTTAAAGGGCATTAACTCCTTAAGGGGTCAATTGACAATTTTGGTCTTTTAACTTTTTTGTAGATCTTATTTTGCTGAACATTATTGCTGTTAACAGTTTATATCTATCTATAATAATATTAAAGATAATAACAAAAACCTGCAAAATTTACTTAAAACTACCAATTTAGTAGAAGCAACCCAACCATGGGTTGTTCGATTCGTCTTACCCCCAAGGGTGACTGGGGAATAGAAGTATGGTCACCATTGGTCTTCCTCCGACCGGCAGTAAAACCCGTGCTAAAGTGGGGCGTCCGTTTGGCTGTGCGGGATGTACAAATTTGCAGCCACGTCCGGTCAGAATGGGGACGTTAAATCCGATGCTTCGTGTAAAGAGAGTGCCACGCTCTTTGCACGTTAAGAACCCTTGCAACAACTCTTTGAGGGGTCCGTAGGTGACCTGTTGCAAGGCTAAATTTCTGTGCCTATCCAATATACCCTCATTTTCCCGTGGCAGTCTAAATTTCTCCGACCATAATCCCTAATCTATTACAGAACCTACCTATTGTATTTATTGTGAACTTGTTCTCGTCCTGAATATGCATGAAATATTTGCCACTGGACGTTAAGCAACCAACAATCAATCAATCAATCGATTCGTCTTCAGGGCTGATAGATCTTGACCAAATGAACAATTTCATCCCTTGTCAGATTTGCTCTAAAAGCTTTAGTTTTTGAGATATAATCCACAAACTGCATTTGAACCCTATGTTCTATTTTTAGCCATGCTGGCCATGTTTGTCGATGGATCAAAACTTCGGATACAAGTTATAAACTAGATACCCTCAGGAACATTTAGATAAAGTTTGAAGGTATTTGGTCCGGTAGTTTCAGAGGAGAAGATTTTTTAAATAGTTTACGACCACAGTACGACGGAGCCAAGTGATGGCATAAGCTCACATGCTGCCCTTCGGGCCCCGGTGAGCTAAAAATGGATACAATGAACTGGACAAAGCATTCATTCTTCAGAAATGTAGCCCTTTTCAACCTTTAATACATTTTTACTATATTTTTTCAATTTCCCTTTTTTTAAATATATATACTATGATTCAGACAGTAAAGTGGCAGTTTAAAACTGAAACTGTAATCCACAGCTAAGATGTTAAATTTGTTTGTAAATATTGCCATATCATGACGCTCTATTCCAAAAAATATTGATATGTTTAAACTTTAATGTAGTATTTCTTTCTTAAAAAGTTTTATTCATAATTAGAATTTACTAGTTAACATATATATCTCACCAGAACCACACAAAAACATCCAAGTATAAATGCATATTCAAACCAGTGAAAAAAAAACAGATTTCTTAAAGGAGTAAGGGCATTTATAAAGGTCCAAGAAAATAAAATGTTTGACAACTATATCAAATTGTCACATGATGTTTGGAAATGCATATGGAGTCATGAACTTATAAATCAAAAACATAAAGATTTTGATCTAATGACATCACAATAACATCATAAAATGTATGGTTTTCACAAACACAGTGAAAAATGCAGAATTATGCAATTTTCGGTCATTATATCCATTGAGGAAACATCGTGCACAGCAAAGAAAAAACATAATAATTTAAAGAAGCTTTGGTTTAAACAATATTTTATTCGATAAGTCAAATCATGCTATATAATATAATACAGTATAAACAATGGGATTCAGAAACAAGCAACATTGCTTATTTTAATCTGTCTCCAAAAGAATGTTGACATACAATATAATGAATACTTGGAGCATGCTCTGTCAATTGAAATATATTAAGAATAGTAAATACAAAAAAAGATTGACTATATAGTTTGAGAAAAAAGGGAGAAAAAAAAAAAAAAAAAAAACAAAAAACAAAAAACAAGTGATTGAAATGAGCATCATAAAGAAGCTTTGTTATTACTATTTTCTTAATTTGAATCTCGCAAAAAAAAGAGTTGTTTCTTGGGTGAGCACATACTTTTCTAATCTAATATTTATCAAAATTTGATGAAAAAGAAGGAAAATCACGAAATTTTACAAAATATGCATATTTTGTTGCCGTTGTAACTCGTTCAATGTGTAATTTGATTTTTTTTCTGAATACCTTGTACATTAGTCTAGCTAGTTTGTACAAAAGTACAAATATTGAGAATATATATGTATGATAACTTTTAAATATTACAGTAATATTTGGGCAAAATAAGGGCCTTATTGCCCCTACTCCTTTTTTATGACTTGCAGAATATATCATTAATAATATTACAAATCTGTCAGTACTGTAAAAAGTTTGTATTACCTTATTCTTAGTCTGGGACCTAAAGTCCACCATCTTTCTTGCTGCAAACCTCAGCCCATGTCGGAGCACTTCCTGTGCATCAGCATCAGGGGCATATTTTCTTCTCAGGGTTAACAGTTTACTCTACAATATACATTTTAAACAGATAGCCAATAAAATATCAATAATTATGAACATAAATAGACATAAAAAGTTTTTCAATTAACAAATATTTAGATTTGATTAAATTGGAAATAAAGATCAAATAAATTTGTTCTTTTCAATGAAAAATGAACATTCCACACTATATGTAAGGGAAACAACTCATTCAAATGACTTTCATTAATCAAGGAAAACTTAACCTCTTTTCAGGTCCCAAACCATTCAATTGAAACTTGTTGATTTATTTAAAAAATGGAGGGGGAGGGGGGCGGTTTCTGTTTACTATCCACTCCAGTGTAACCAAAATATTTTTTCACTGTCCATTTCTTCACATTTTCAATTTGTTTGCGGTTGACAAAAAATACTAGATAGGAATTTGCTCTCCTTAAATATAATCTTGTATAATATGTTTAAAATAATTGTTTACCTTTAACTCAGTATCTGGATCTGATAGAAAGGGATTCCTAGAAAATCTGACTTTCAAATATTCATGTAACGGTTTCTGAAATAAAGACAAAATTATATCAGACTTTTAATTCAGTGATCATTTGATGCAGCATAACATATTTGTTTTTTCATTCATTGTTTTGTACATAAATAAGGCAGCAAGTTTTCTTGTTTATTATTTAAAGCTGTACGGTGATCTTCAGTTGTTTAAAAATTCTATGTTTTCAATTTTTAGAGATTTATTCTAATTGGCAATCATACCACATTAAAAAGATAAAAAAGAATAAAACAAACCATGTTAAATTTTCATTTTCACAAATATCTAACTATAAATCTGTATATTTAGGACTTGACTAAACATGGCATTAATCATGTTAATAAAACAAATAAATGGGGAATGTGGCCATGGACACACATGATGCCCCTGCTTGCATATCATCTAAAGATATAAAGGGACATAACTGAAGAAAAGTAAAAGTGACGCTACCCATATTTGTACTTGATCTGAGGTTTGTTGTAGTTAGCATTGTGTATAAGATTCATAACATTTGGTAGAGGCTAACTAAAGTTAAAGAATGGAAACGAAAAATTCAGTAATTTTTATGTTTATAAACTATTAAAGCGAAATAACTAAATACGGTATAAGTGAAGCCACCCAATTTCGAACTTGATCTATATTACGTGGTGATAAGCATTATGAAAAAGTTTCAAAACATTCGGTCTAGGCAAACTAAAGTTAGAGAACAGAAACTAAAAATTCAGCAATTTATCCATTTGTAAAGGGGCATAACTCTGGAACAGTTATAGTGATGCGAACAAATTTTCGAAATTTGATCTTTGTTTTGTGGAAATAAGCATTGTGTATAGTTTCATAACAATTGAATGCCCCCAAGGGTGACTGGGGAATAGAAGTATGGTCACCATTGGTCTTCCTCCGACCGGCAGTAAAACCCGTGCTAAAGTGGGGCGTCCGTTTGGCTGTGCGGGATGTACAAATTTGCAGCCACGTCCGGTCAGAATGGGGACGTTAAATCCGATGCCTCGTGTAAAGAGAGTGCCACGCTCTTTGCACGTTAAGAACCCTTGCAACAACTCTTAGAGGGGTCCGTAGGTGACCTGTTGCAAGGCTAAATTTCTGTCCCTATCCAATATACCCTCATTTCCCGTGGCAGTCTAAATTTCTCCGACCATAATCCCTTAATCTATTACAGAACCTACCTATTGTATTTATTGTGAACTTGTTCTCGTCCTGAATATGCATGAAATATTTGCCACTGGACGTTAAGCAACCAACAATCAATCATAACAATTGAATGTAGCAAACTTCAGTTTAAGAGAATGGAAACGAAAAATTCAGCAATTTTTCCATTTGTAAAGGGGCATAACTCTAGAATGATTATAGTGATGCACCCAATTTCGAACTTGATCTGTGTTTTGTGGTAATAAGCATTGTGTATAATTGTATAACATTTGGCTGAGGCAAACTAAAGATAAAGAATGGAAATCAACTTTGGGACATACGTACAGACTGACAAGGGTAAAACTTAATGCCCCCTACGCTACAGTGGAGGCATAAAATTGTTTAGAATAAATTATTGGTGTTTAAAACCAGTCCTTAAAATTTCTTACAAGTGCCTTATGTGTTATTTTTGTTCCTCATAGCAATTTAATATAAGTAATTTTATAAAATCCCACTTATTACTTTTTTTTTTTTCTGAATAAATTTTGATAAAACAAAGTGACTATATTGACATTTTTGAATTATGTTTTCAAACTTAAGTTATAAATTCACAAACATAACCTGTTCCATAGACTGGTACCAGTGATTACACCAATGTGACCAGTATATGTTGTAAATTGCAAATCGCAATTTTCATGTTTTATTTTTTTAACACTTTCCTACAGAAAAGATAGTTCTATTGCAAAAAGAAGGAGGAATGAAAGTAACATATTCTCATACTTAACACTGGGCCATTGCTATGTTATTAGAGAACCAGTTCATTCCTCTGATATAATATTTAAGTATTACTACATGTATCAGCTTTTGAATCTTTCATTTTATAACCATTGATGTCTAAGAAAACCTAAATGGCTCAGACGCCCTATATACCACATCAAACCTTTTTCACATGATCCATTAATTATAGATATTAAGCTTTACCTCAACTGCAGAATTTTGAATAGAGAACGATGGTAGTTTTGTTTTGCCAGCTTGCAATTGCTTCACTTCTTTCACTGTAATGATAGTGAACGAACTATATACATAATATGTTGATTGAAATGTAAAAATAAAAACACATTTGAAATTGTTCTAAATGTCTGAACAAAAAATTCAACATTCAATCTTAAGGTTGCTCTGGCCTATTTCTAGTTTCTGTCAGAAGCGCTGTATTTTTTGTTATTTTAATCTTCGCAGAGAGTGAATCAAATTGGTCGAAAACAAATAGGGGGTCCCGGACCATTTAAGCTCAAAATATTACTTTTAAACAGGTATGTAAAAGGGACCATTTTTCAATGAAATTATAGGGAAAATAGAGGTGTTGACAAATTTTTATCGGAATATCAAAAAAACTGTCTGTGACACTTGGTCCAAATCTGTAATATAAAAAAGCTGAAGTAAAGCTTCAAATAATAAGCAAATAAAAAATATAGGTCACCAATAAGGAAAAAAAATATTTTGCCTTTAAACAAAAAATTTTGGCGGGAAAATGGTGAAATTGGTTGAAATGTCATTTTAAGATACACATACAAATGTAATAACGATAATAATTTTTTAGTGACAAAAATACAAAAATTTCACATTTTTAATCAATCAAAATATTAAAAAAAAATAATAGTGAATTTACGACACAAACTTTTTGTGTGCATGGTAATTCATGCGTGAAATTATGCGCAGTCAAATAGTCCCGATTTCCCTAATACCATGAAGGACTTGGCATTTACTAAGTTTTTAAATTTCATTCTGACATACAATATTGCATGTATACATTTCAAGTATTTACATTCTTTCTTCTACAATGTGAATAGCTGTAAGTGGAATTGTTCTAACTTGAATGTACAAGTATTTTTGTATATACTTTGCCTTGGTGAAAATCTGGCCACTATGATTTTTTTTTATAATTATCAAATCAATGTATACATTCTGGTACTTTAATCATGACTTTTTTAGTCTAAAACATGAATACTTACATATCTCCTTTAACAAAATTGTGTTCTTAGCACAACAGTCACAATGACTGGTACTGTTGCATGCTGGTGGTGCCCTCAGCAATGGCATATTATCCTGGCCAAACAAATCAGTTTGCGAGTTCTCACATACTTCCTCTTGACTATCCTAAAACATTATTATATATATATATCTATTAAAAGCAAAAGTTTACAATGCATTTTTTTATAATTGATATTTACAAAATATTAGTTTTAATCAATTAAGTACAAACAAGAATAATTTTCCTACAGTAAACCAAAAAAACAATCTGTTACAAAATACAATTTTTAAAAATGAGTTGCCAAATTTTTAATTCCAAACAACTTCCGAATTTATATCAGAGCTTATTTACAATCTTACCTGATAGTTTGACATAGTATTTAATTTGACAGAACTGTTCTTTTCTGTATTCTTTTGACAGCGCAGTGTTGTCGTCTGTATATGACGTCACGCGCTCAGTTGAACGTTTTAAAACACGCTCGAATAATATTAAACATTCAAGCACCTAAATGACAATGATTTCGTGAATGTCAACAATGTTTTCTCGCTACCGATCATCTAAGTTTACAGAAAAAGAAATCACCTATAAATGTGAAGACTGTACCTACGGGACAGACAAGAAATCAAACTTCGTGAGACACCTAACATCGTCCAGACATAGGCAACTAGGAACAAATAATGGCTTACCTACAGAAGGCACAGATCAGCCTGTCTTCACAGTCCAGGATCATGAGGATGACAACATGACAGATCAACACCATGAACATGTCCACGCAGATGAATCTGATGCTGATATTTCCGAGGTCGATGAACCTACATTTCCTGAAGATGAATCTGATATAGATGAGGACATTTCCGGTGATGAGTACCACACAGCCACACACGTCGAATCAGATTTGGAATGGTTTCCATTTATTTCAAAACTACATTTTTTATTATCAGTACTATATAGCTCTAAGACCCATAGAGTGGTGAGTATTTATCATTTTCTGCATGGTTCCACCTCTCCATATATTTGATAAATACTTTAAACTATGCAACAACTTTACAAATGCATGTCTATAAAGAGACATGTTTTAGTGAATACTGACAATCTGTATTAGTTTAATTTGTTTAAAGGGGGGGGGGGGGGGGGGGGGGGGGGTACATGTAAGGTTTATCAGAATTGTATTGAAACTGAGACTGAAAATTACCATATAAATATAAAATTAAGAAAATGTTATTTGCTTGTCAATGAAACATTTTTCACCAAATGATGTAGAAGTTACATTGTAAGCAAATATACCTATGTGGGTCAATGTACATTTACAGCTATCATTAGAAAATTTTTTTTATAACCGTCCTTCCTTATAATTTTATTCTATATTCCATTTTAAATCATAGTAAATCATGAGAAATCTTTGATGAGTTCACGGTCACATGACAAAGTTATGTCTACATGTATGAGCTACTAGTTAAAACACTGTCAGCCAAGCAGAATAAGACGCTTACATCCAAAATTAAATCATATGTATTAATTGAATTTATTATAGAATTTTAACGGACATGATTTCCTAGGAAAACTAGTCTGGGGACATAGATTACTAACATTGGACTAAATATATTATTAAAGTCTGTAACCATGGACTTTTTATACTACCGGTAGTAATATACCAGGACAAATTTATCACTTACACTTACAGGACATTTAATAAAAACATTTTCAAAATATTATGTAAAAAATGTATATGCATGTTTTGAAAATTTTAAATTAAACTTAGGATGTGATAATTTAGATTACTTGCATGATTTTTCTTTCAGAGTGATGAAGTTATGACATTTTTTCTCTTCATTTTGAAAGAATGTGGCACTCAGAATGTTCCACCACTAGCCAAAGTAAAGAGCTATTTACAAGAAAAGTTTGAAATGGGAGAAATGATTCAAAGGGTAAAACTTAAGACTGTAACTAGAAAATACTTAAAATCTTTCTCAGTAACTTCGGCAGATTTATCCACAGTTAATGATGTTTTTACCTATATCACTATCAAAGATATTTTAAGCTCTATTGTTCTCATTTCGTAAGCTGTAGAAGGGTTCTAATTCAATTTGTTGTAAACTATAATTTTCATTGGATGTTGACATATGTTTTTGAAGAGGTAGATTCCACGTTCTACCAGTCCCTCACTAAGAAAGCTACCATTTTGCGACATTAAAATCTACATTTAAAGGCTGAAGCTTAAAATACAATACAGTTATCTCCTAAATGTATTTCCATTAATTAAAAAATGCACGTCATGGAATGCGTACATTACCATGATACATCAGCTTGTATCCATATCTTTGACCTCTATGAAATAAATTTTCTCAACAATTTACAATTTACAATTTTTGTTTAACATAAAAATAGAAAAATTTGTGTATTTATTGTAGCATGAGGACGCACAGGGTAACATAAGTTGGACAATAAAACCATCAGCTATGCTCCGACTACACCTAGCAAATCCAGATACTGCTAACAGAATATCCAGGTGAGAAATTGCTATGCTGAAAAAAGTTAACTTGATAAATGGAAAGTAGTTCATCACTCAAAATTATTTTTTTATGGAATTTTTTTTGGTATGTACAAAAATTAATATCGCATAGTTATATATGTATAGTCAAGTCAAACAAAGGTTTAACCTCAAACTAATTGCAAAAGAAAATGTTTTAGTCTAAATCTAATATTAGTATAAAGCCCCCATATACGCAGAAAAAAGTCCCATAAAATCTAACTTGAGGAAAACTCAAAAGCAGCATTTTTAATTTCCTATGGAAATTAACATTGGAAAAGGAAGATAACTCCGCAAAAATTGAGTCTTTTTTGTCAGTTTTTGGTTGATTTCTTAAAATTCATGTAAAGCATGAAACTTTTATGGGGTTGTTAGTTTGTATTGACTATATTATATCATCTACTGCTCATGCGATGTACAAAACCAAAGTGTTATGGGTATTTTAATTTTTTTTGCGCATTTTTCATTAAAGAAATTGCAAATTTGTGGCTTTGTGACCATTTTGAAAAAATAATGTGAAAAGTTGGAATTGTAAATTATATCTGTAAATTATATTTGTTCAGCATCTACCTTTTTCAAAGAAACTTTAAACCACAAAAAGAAGAATATATGCTTAGTTATTTTTATTAAATTTGAGATTCTTTACCTTGACATGTTGAAAAATTTAATAAATGGTCAACTAATGAATTACCAAATCTAGGTTGAAGCTTGATAAAAGATATGAAAACAACTTTAGAGATGTTTGTTATACTCTAAAGATGGCTAAAATGCCAAGAATCAATACATTCTGCTGAATATATAGAAGCGGTAAAGTTATAATTTTGTATCAATTTTTATTGATATTTCTGCCTTTTTTGCAGAGTTATCTCCCATTTCAATGCAAATCTCCATAGGAATTTTAAAATCTAGATTTTTTAGTCTTTCTTAAGTTATATTTTGTTGGACTTTTTCAAAGCATGCAATTACTGCCTAGTAAATGACTTAGTACATTATTGTATTGATAAGAGATCTGCTTAAACATGCAACTATATACCAATTATAAACAGCTAGGGAAGGTGTGCAAAAATGCAGGCCCTTTTTTATAGTCCAGTAGTCACCCACACTATGTTTTTTTTTCATGTAAGCTGTAGGCATGTAGTGTTTAGTATACAGACATTATTTTCATTAAAGCTTATTTGTACAATAATAAAATTATATTTTTACATTTAGATATCCTACGGTTGAAACCAGTAGTCAAACAGTTCACCAGGCCTCAGGCAATAAATGGAAATCAATGGAATTTCATTGGGCAATTAACAAAGAAAGACAACAATTCATGAAAGGGGTGTTCATATCATTCAGTGTCAGAGGTCAAATTGTTTATGGGAAAATTATGCAATTCCTTGAAAATTTGTTGGTAATATTTAGTATAATACTTTTGAGTAATGTGTTTAATATTTAAACCAAATTTTGTAAAAAATCTAGGTAAAGATGTGACAACTGTGCAGCACAATTTTTTTTTTATTAAGTATTCTAATAAGTATGAATAACTTTTGAAAACAGTTTTAATTTGTAGCTTTTATCCACCTCTGTGATTTATAGGCGTTATAGGTATTAGATCATATTAATAACAAAATATTCCCTATGTGTCAAGATTGCTAAACAGTTACAATAATTTTTCATTTCCTCAAATCAATTATTTTAAATAAAGAAAGTACAAATATTGATGCAATTTGATTTTTTTCAGGAGGATAGAATGTATGTCAAAGTTTCATTTTATTTAGACAAAACACACAGAGTATTAACAGATGAACATGTGGAGAACAAGTAAGCATTGTGTGTCAATAGTTGGATGAAAATAAGCATACAATGCTTTATCCTGTAATTAGCCAACTATTGTACAAATAACAGGTATACAAATAACAGTTATACAAATAAATTTTTGCTTTATTTGTTCTTGTACAAATAAAGTTTCCTGGTACCCCACTATCACATTGAGCAAGCAGGTAATGTGAATATTTCTGTTTCCTAACCAGTTCATTTTGGGGTCCTCTTCGCAGTCCGCGTTTCAACTATGTCGATTTCTTTGCGAAATTAGAGACAATGATTTTGATTTTAATATCTAAAGTTTCAAGCGTTGGGAGTAAATTCAGGAAAAACTCAATTAAAGCCTCGCTTTTCATCCTGTTTCTAAAGCTCATACAAATAAATTTTATATTTTCCAACAACATACATAAATTGTATATTTATCTACCTGTCTTTAACTGAAAGAAGCAACCTTTTTATACGACCACAAAAAGTAAAATTTCTTGGTCGTATATTGGTATCACGTTGTTGTTGTCGTCGTCAGCGTCGACGGAAAACAGATGGTTTTCGGATAATAACTTGAGTATAAGTTAATAGAAATCAGTAAAATTTCAACACAAGGTTTATAACCACTAAAGGAAGGTTGGTATTGATTTTGGGGGTTATGGTCACAACTGTTTAGGAACAAGGGGCCAAAAACAAGCATTTTTGTAGTTTCCAGACAATAATTTTTATGATGTATTTAAATGGGTAATTATGGTTGCAAACTCCATTAGAAATTTGAATTGAGATACTGACCATATCTTGAGGGAAAGAATTTTTTTTGGGAATAAGGGAAAGGTGGAGGTAAAAAAAATGGAGGGGATGACAACTTTTCTCATTTCAGATTTCAGAAATTAAAATAAAATTTCTTCAATATTTTTTTTGGGGGTTTAATATTCAATAGCATAGTGTATTGCACAAAAGCAAAAAAACAGGGGTAAAATCAAATTTTTTTTGGGGGGAGGGGGGGGGGAGGTCAATTCGCAACAGCATAGCGTATTGCACAAAAGCAAAAAATTGAATATAAATTCAAATCATATAACCAATTTGAAGGTATATTTTACTTCAGTTATTCTGTGTTAGAAACCTATCATCCGTCAAAAATTTAATTACAATCCAAATTCAGACCTGTATCAAGCGTGAACATCGTGTCCATTTTGACCTCAACTTTTCAGGGTTGGACATCTGCGGTCGTATCCAGCTGCGCTCAGCGAAGCAATTTATTGAATTCTGGAATGTACAATTATCTTTTAATTATTATATCAATCTTTTTCTTGGAAGATGGCTCATTGTGTACATAATATATATTTTACTTCATTTATATTAAATGTCAAGAATAAACTAGAACTAGAAGTGCAACATGTTAAAGTTTGTTTTTCACTTGTAGTTGCTTGGTAAAGATGGATAAATATCGCACAGTACCCCTTGATGACTGTCAAATATTTGATGTATCTAATATTAGATCATTTAAAGAAGTTTTAAATGGGGAATTGAGTTATGTCTCAAAAGAGGTATGTATACAAGAAGCATATGCATTATGTCTCATTGTCATTTTTTATCAACTTCTATCTTTTCCATAATTCTGTATAATTGAAATACAATTATTTTCAATGTTCATACTATTTTTTTGCTACAAAATTATTGTACAAGTATATTTGAAGAATGTTCATTTCAAATTCAGTACAACTCCAACCTCTCTTTTTTACAGTTATTTGTTGATCGCTTTCATTTTGGTTATTATTACCCTAGATCTAGAGATACTGTTATTTCAGGCCTTAGAACTTTTAATGTATTTTTTTGTGTATGATTTGATATAAATGTTACTTGTACAGCTGATGCGAATTGAAAAAGGACGAGGCCAAAGAAAAGCTAAATAAATTAAAAATAAATATTTTGTATATTATGATTTAGATCTTGATGAATAGTATAAGGTCTGAAGACTTTATCTTCCTCAAGACCTCATTTGATAAATTTAATCCATTTGAACTCAGGGGCGGATTGAGGATTTTGGAAAGGGGGGCGTAAAAATAAAGTTCGCAGAGCGGAGCGAGGCGATAACATTTTTGGTCCTTGTTTTGGCTAAAAAACATAAAATAAGTGTAAAATGCATTTTATAGTTAAAGTGTAGGGTTTGGACATTTTTGGTGCGGTATTCTCTCCATTAATTGTCTATTATGAAATGAATGAAGATCCAAAGCTATGTACTAATTAATATATTTGATGTGGGATTTGTCAGTAAAAAATTGACATGGAAAATTCTCGTTTGTTGTATGGTTAGTTAGCATAACCTCACAGATTTCTTGTTGTAAACAAGATATACGGCTATTCAATGAAATTTACAATATGACCGACACGAAGAAAGACAAACAAGCAATTTTTATCCAAATGTTTGGTTGAAATGTTTCAACCAACAAGGGAAGTGAGGATTCCAAATCAACCAAAGGCTACGAATGAGTCGGAAATGACAATGAAGTTGTGAATGACGGTCGACACATGGAGACATATAGGCCACACCCAGCAGGCAGGTTGCAGTCGGGCCTTGAAAAAAGTATTCAGTATATCAGTTCGGCGAAACATACATTCCGGTCAGATATGAGATTCACATGCAACCCCCCCAAAAAAGTTACGCCCGTTTTTTATACGACCGCAAAAAAATTTTTGTGGTCGTATATTGGTATGACGTTGGCGTCGTCGTCGTCGTCCGGCGTCGTCCTGCGTCGTCCGAAGACACATTGGTTTTCGCACTCTAACTTTAGTTTTAGTGAATGGATCTCTATGAAATTTTACCACAAGGTTCAATACCACAAAAGGAAGGTTGGGATTGATTTTGGGGATTATGGTACCAACAGTACAGGAATTAGGGGCCAAAAAGGGGCCAAAAATAAGCATTTTTGTAACTTCCAGACATAACTTGTGTGTTAGTGTATGCATCGCTCTCTCTGACATTGTACCACAAGGTTCCATATCACAAAAGGAATGCTGGGATTGATTTTGGGGGTAATTGCCTCAAAATTTTAGGAATTAGGGGCAAAAAAAGGGGCAAAAAACAAGCATTTTTCTAGTTTCATGACAATAACTTGTGTGTAAGTGTATGGATCTTTCTGAAATTGTACTACAGGGTTCCATATCACAAAGGGAAAGCTGGGTTTGAGTCTGGGGGTAATTGCCCTAAACGTTTAGGAATTTGGGGCCAAAAAGGGGCCAACAAACACATTTTTCTAGTTTCCAGGCAATAACTTTTGTTCAAGTGTATGGATCTCTCTGAAATTGTACTGCAAGGTACCATACCACAAAGGGAAGGCTGGGATTGAGTTTGGGGGTGATGAATCATAAGGGGGTTCAAAAAATTTGGGGGGGGGGGATTTTTTTTTCTTTTTTTTTCTTTTTTTCCTTTTTTTTTTTCTTTTTTTCCTTTTTTTTTTTCTTTTTTTCCTTTTTTTTTCTTTTAAAATTTTCCATTTAAGTTGGTTATTTCTGATTTATATTTAAAAGCAAATAATAATGATATGGTAGGAGATACACACCAAACAGGATGTGTAAATTATCATATGATAAGTATTGTGCAATTGCAAGAAATTTTCAATTGCACAGTATTGCATAATAGCAAGAAATCTTCAATTGCACAGTATTGCGCAATAGCAAGAAATCTTCAACTGCACAGTATTGCGCAATAGCAAGAAATATCCAATAGCACAATATTGTGCAATAGCAACAAATTGTCAATTGTACAGTTTTGCGCATTAGCTAGAAATATTTAATTGCACAGTATTGTGCAAAAGAAGATACTTCGTATAAATTGCTTATTTCTTGACCAATTTCAATGGGGTTTTATTCTTGAGGTTCTTTCATATGCTGAATCTAACCGTGTATTTAGTTTTTGGATTTTGGGCCCGGTTTTTAAATTGGTCCACATTGAGGTCCAAAGGGTCCAAAATTAAACTTTGTTTGATTTCATCAAAAATTGAATTATTGGGGTTCTTTGATATGCCGAATCTAACCGTGTATTTAGATTCTTAATTTTTGGTTCCGTTTTCAAATTGGTCTATATTAAGGTCCAAAGGGTCCAAAATTAAACTTAGTTTGATTTTAACAAAAATTGAATTCTTAGGGTTCTTTGCTATGCTGAAACTTAACATGTATTTAGATTTTTGATTATGGGCCCAGTTTTCAAGTTGGTCCAAATCGGGGTCCAAAATTAAACTTTGTTTGATTTCAACAAAATTTGAATATATGGGGTTCTTTGATATGCTGAATCTAACCATGTATTTAGATTTTTGGGCCCCGTTATCAACTTTGTCCACATTGAGGTCAAAAGGGTCCAAAATTAAACTTTGTTTGATTTCATCAAAAATTGAATTCTTGGGGTTCTTTGATATGCTGAATCTAACCATGTATTTAGATTTTGGATATTGGACCATAATAGGTGAATGTCCAATTTAAAATTTTTAAGTTCTTAGACCACATTCATTCTGTGTCAGAAACCTATGCTGTGTCAAATATTTAATCACAATCCAAATGCAAAGCTGTATCAAGCTTGAATGTTGTGTCCATACTTGCCCCAACTGTTCAGGGTTCGACCTCTGCGGTCGTATCAAGCTGCGCCCTGCGGAGCATTTTATTTATTCATCATGTTCATTTAATGCTAAATAATTTTGTTGAAAATATTTTTTTCTAATAGCAAAAAAGTGGACAAGATTATTGTTTTCAATCCAGATAAGGCCAGAATTTTTGTTTAAGGCAAAAATCAGGGTCAGAATTTTTTCTCTAAAATATCTCAGACTGCCCCCTCAAATCAAATGGTCCGTACCTTAGACTTCAAATCTATATCTAGAGCTTACTGATTGGGGATCACTATTCAGCAATGTTATTAATAGGCTGGGGTGTGTGGGGTTAAACATGTTTTCGTAGGTAAATAATATTGCTGTGGAACTTTCATCAGAGTGTAATTGAGTATTACTTTGTGTTTGGTGGAATTGTGAAAGAAAAGTCAATACGATCTTGCTCAATACTTTGTCGCTTTGTAGGCGTCATTCTTGTCATCCTCAGCCTAAGCAATGTGTTACTGTAATTTGAATTTCAAAATGACTGAGTGACGTTTTTTTCGACGTACTGGTCAACTCCACCATAGCGAATCACATGACTTTGACATAATCGATAATATATTACAGTAAATACAAGCGAAAAATATCGTCATAAGTAAAGAACTGTCGCATAAAATTTAAATACACAGGAAATGGCAAAGTTCGCGAAGTCTAGTCTGATTAATCATTTTACAAAAAAAAAAAAAAAAAAAAGTGCAAGCAAAGGGGGGGCGTACTCCCTCTACGCCCCCCTCTGGATCCGCCACTGTATGAACTTGACCCAGCTCCTCAATTTGCTCATTATCAATTTATGATGAATTATTAGCAACATGTCAGTAGTTGACCTATTCATACTTTTAAAAAAAAAATCAATCTATATAATCATATACATGCTGTATATTTTATCCCATTTATTCAGGAAAAAGAGGGAACTTTGCAATGTTCAACTTTGTAGAGAGGCTTGCCGGTTGTTTCTGTGCCAATAAACCTTTTTATGGATGACTTGTCTGCAAATCAGTCTAGAAGATGGGCACCTTTACATGCTGTACAAGGGCAGATTTCTGGTCTTCCACTTGATCAAAAGAACAAAGGCAAAAGTGTGATGTTTCTTGGGCTATCAGATAAAATGTCCATGTTAGATCTTATGTCACCAATATGTAGTGACATTAAACAATGCAAGCAGTAGGTATTATTTAAGCATCCACATTTTCAGAAAAAGTACAATTTGATTATCTGTTTGTTAACAAAAACAAAACAAAAAGGCACATGTGCCATATAAAGGAGTAGGTTTAAATATAGATTAAGAAATGGCCTCTTCCATACAGGCCCAGGTATCATCAAGAGACCCCCATATCATCCGGAGGTGTAAGTCGATGGTTGAAATGGGTTGATATGGAAAAGAATGTGTTAATCTTTTTTATCATCAGACGGTCGGATGGCAAGCAAGTCTCTTTCGATTTCATCTGTAGGGGACTAAAAAGGGTTTGAAGATTGACCCTCGATTTCATCTGTAGGGGACTAAAAAGGGTTTGAAGATTGACCCATTCATTTTATTTCTTTTTGTCAACTTTTACATAATATTACAAACTTTATCTGTGATTATAAATAGCTGTGATATTGTAAAGAAAAATATTGTCTATGAAATTTTTAGATATGTCCTGCAGTATAATATTTCAGGTTTATCAAGCATTATAATTTGCTCCACCTTAAAGATATATTTAGATAAGTACAAGATGGAATTTTGTCAATATATATATATTTTAACTATATGTGTTTTTCAGGTTTGGAATTGAGACATATGATGCAGCCCTAAAACAAAAGGTGATAATGATAACTGATATATCACTTATTGTGACAGACTACCAGATGATGAGTTTGGCATGTAAACACTTGGGTCCATCTGCAAACAAATTTTGTCCAAAATGTTTTGTA